TGCATTTTTATGGGATGGTTATTTGGTGTTGGGACCTCATGCAGTTGTGGGAATATTATTGCTTTTTAATTTATTTATTTATTTATTTTAATACACTGTAGTAAGAATATTTGTGTAGAATGGATGTACTATGTTAAATGATCTTGCTTTGTAGTTTATCAGCTAACAACACAGCTAGCCACAAACTAACTTGAACAGAACTTATCAATTTAAATAAATACAGCCTATTTTTTTTCTTAAACCAAAGCATGTTATATGAGAACATCATAAAGCTGCAAAAAGATCCAGACAGCAGCTCTAACTCTTTCAATAAGACTGCTGCTTTTTTCTAGCGTAGTTATCAAATGTGGTCGTATTTCACTGCATGTGATTTATGGGCCTTGGGTGCAATTGCTGCACAGATAACCCAAGTGTGGATGTCGTTGTGACTCTGCAGGTGTTGTGCGTGAGGAGTATGAGGTGCAATGCCAACGGTGTGGATGACGGCGACCCCAGCGCACCGCGCACTGAGAAAACCACAGCACATGACTGCATCATGTTCTCGCCTCGTAACGACGCCCAGAGCAGCCAGGTAGCCTGTGCGTGAGTTGACTTGTGTATGTGCGTGTGGAGGTGATACGTCTTTAATATTCTGTGGTACGACAAGCTGTGGCCGGAGGCGTTATTTTTTCAGGTTGTCCCTCTGTGCCACTCTCATAAATGTGATATTTCTTGAACACTTGGTGGGAAATTGCAGTGACTGCTCAACGGTTAAAGACTCTTGGTTACTGATCAGAAAGTAAAAGCTCTGCACCATCAAGCTGCCATTGTTGGGCCTTTGACCAAGGCTCTTAACCAAAAAGGACAAGTGCTAAAACATATTTGTGCCAAATAAAGACTTCTTCTTCTTCTTCTTCTTCTTCTTCTTCTTCTTCTTGGCCACACGAAGCTACTTCAAAAAGTTCTTGGTCTCACCCAGAAACAGGAGGCGTAACTCTCATTTTGGGTTATAACTGTATGTTATAAAGCCTTATATTAGTGTGCACAAAATCTCAGATGTTGGAAGCAATCAAAGAAAAAAGAAGAGGCGAGCTTAGAGCTGTTGTGCTGCAGCTCCAGGATAATGTGTTGGTCCACACAGCACAGGTAGCAGAAGCAGCTTTGAACTGCTGCCTCATGAACCTGACTCATCCGACCCACACCGTCTGTCTTCGATCTGTTTTCCAAACTGAAATTCCACTTGCGTGGTCGCCATTTTCAGGGTGATGATGAAGTCATGCATGCTGTTGAGAAGCATCAGGAGGCTCAAGATGTGACCTTCTTCTGTGATGGGATCGTTAAGCTTGAACATCGGTGGAACAAATGCATTGAAGTTAAAAGGAGACTATGCTGAAAACTAATCCAAGAAAAATCTCTCTCCAGTGATGTTTTAGTGGGGCTGAGAGCTTTCTAAAGCAACCTTGTAGCTCAAGAATTCCTAAGCTAACTATGACAGATTTTCACAAATAGTCCAAGAGGGTAAAGTGATGACAAATTATTTTTTAAAAATGTCAAACATCAAGCGTGTACAGACTTGGATTTAGAAGTAACTCAACTGCTTCCTCGACAGTGACTGTAGCTTGCCGTAAAAATAGGATTTTTTATTTTAAGATTTTTTAAATTTTTTTGTTTTTATAAATGACAGAGGTAAGTCCTTTAAGTGCCTCATTAAGTCAACAGGAAGCATGAGTCGTTTTTGATTCATGCATAATCGGAGATGTGTAGAAGCGCTCGGCTAAAATCAGATCCCTTCAGAAACACACAGACACGTCGCAGCTCCCTGCATCATCAATGAATCACCTCTCTATTAATCAACAGGCAGGTGTGTGTGTTCATGTGTGTGGGAAAACGGCTAATTGATGAAGGATGGCGAAATAATGTAGCCATGGAGGCAATGATTAGAAAAATTCTGAAAGCTGGCGTGAAAGTTATGAAATTAGGTTTAGAGGAGGGCAATCAGGGAAGGAAAAAAAGCAGTGACTCAGTAAGTGCAGCTTCATCGTGTCCAATTAGATAAACTGTACAAGAGCAATGAGGTGCATTAAACCGACAGAGTGGCGCTGATGAGAGTCTCTTAACGCTCCATCAGCCGGTTCAAGGTTATCAGAACTACAACTTTCTCCGTAAGTCTCAGAGTCGGAGCATATCTGTTGGATTCCAAGTACTCAATTATTGATGCATAGATCTCTGGGTATACTGAGAGTATACGTTTTGCTTCAGGCCTGATGTCTTCTTATTTATCCTCCTGAGCCAACAAGTTTGAGAAAACAAAGAAAGCACAGCTGAGAGAGTGGGAAAGGATAATAAAAAAATAAATAGTCAAACTAAGTTAAAGTTGTAATCCATGAGGTTTTAGTCCTGACTGATTTTGTGAGGGGCTGCAAGGTGGCGCAGTTGGTAGCACTGTTGCCTCACAGGAAGAAGATGTGTGCTGGGGGCACCCACCAGTGGGGGCACCGGGATCTTTCTGCGTGGAGTGTGCATGTTCTCCCCGTGCAGTGTGGGTTCTCTCCGGGTTCTCCGGCTTCCTCCCACACAGTCCAAAAACATGTTGAGGTTAATTGGTGATTCTAAATTGTCTGTAGGTGTGAATGTGAGTGTGCTTGGTTGTCTGTCTCTCAGTGTGGCCCTGTGATAGACTGGTGACCTGTCCAGGGTGTCCCCTGCCTTTAAGTCAGCTGGGATAGACTCCAGCCCCCCTGTGACCCTAGTGAGGATTAAACGGTGTATAGATAATGGATGGATGGATGGATGGAGGATTTTGTGAGATCAAAGGGTGACCTCCAAGGCTGAAAAATGAGGCCAATGCTGAAGCACCCAAAACTGCAGTTCTCCAAATGGCCACTTGAGGCTGGCTTTAAAAACAACTCAATCATCATTGACCCAAATGTTAAAATGCTTCATTTCACAACAGAAAAAAAACATATTTACAGCCTGGTACAAAAACAGTTTTGGTCTCTTTAGCTAATTTTCATATTCATGACAGCTGTACAGGGAATTAATTTGTATCAAATTCACCTGTTTAAATTGTATTAAGGCTTGAAGTCATATTTAAGGATGTGCAGGCTTTGAGTGAGAGGTCTCAGCTCTGCTAACACTCCAACTGTTTTCTCATTTCTGAATTATCCAGGAGTTTGGGTGGAGTCAGGAAATGCCAAAAAAATAAAAAATAAAAAATGCAACGACTGAAGCCACTGCTCTGAGCTTCTTTAGGAAGTCTGTAGGTGACGACCTCGAGGGTCCATCTTTATGAAATGGGCAAGACCTGTGTTTGTCACAGTAGCAGCAAGTGCATTTAGTGTAATAACAGTGAGGCTAACAGTAGCTACAAAATGAATTCAGTCCATTTAAAGTATTTTGTCCCATTGGCTGTTTTCCCCTTTTATTGCTTTGCAACAATCGTAGAATCGTAGCCAAATATGCATCTGCTAAATACTATCTTGGATGATGTAAATACTTATGCAATAACTTATCTTACACTTTGTATGTTTAATTAATTGACTTTACCTTGTAGAAATCTGTTTTCACTTTGACACAAAAGAGGCCGTTTTTGGGGGGTAAATTCTACTGACAATGAGTTAGAGCTGAAAAGCAATCAAATGGGAAACTTGAGGTGATTATGTTTTATAGGCACTGAACATATGAACACATCTATACAGAAAGGTAATTATTTCATGTAAATACAGGGAATGACTTGTAGAAAAAAATGTCAGCATAAAAAGTGGGGAAGTTATCCTTACGACTAACTTTTTGTTGTGGTTTAAATTAATTCAGATCGATGTTTTAGAAACACAAAAGGTAGTGGCAGATTGAATTTGGTGCCGAGTGTTGAATCGTGACAATAACGGACAGTTAAATCAGGATTATACTGCCTTGGACACGGGCGGCTGCAGACACCACAGATACACAGTCGTTTTAAATCATTCTATTTTCTAGTCCACTCGGAGAATGTTTCATACGGATCAGTGCCATCATATTCAGAGCATGCACGCCACTGCCCTTGTAGTGAAGCCTGCGCTGACACGAATTTGGGGATGTCTGCAGAGGGGTCCACATGGACTCTTGCAGACGTGAGCAGATGATGAAATTTATATTGTTTGGATGCTGGCTGACTGTTAAGGATGTGAAACGTGCAGCACTGGTTTTAGTCATATATTACATGTGGAGTGTGTTAGAGAGTAATGACGAAAACTGCAGCAAAAGCAGTGTCAGGTAACCCAGAAGTAACACGCCGTTACTGACTTTTTCATCTCTATGAAGATCTCTCCTCAGCCTCCTGGGTCGCCTACCTCTCACACGGCAGCAGACCTTCATCGCTCCTCCCCTACATACCAATTTGCCTCCGCTTGCCCAGGAATCGCATCCAAACCTAACACGGTAACCTCCACGGCGGCCTCCATGGTGACCTCCATGATGACAGCAGCTGAAGCTCCCACCATCACTGCCCTGACCAGCCCCTCCTCCTCCTCTGCAGCTCCAAAGGACCAGTAACAAATGGACGGTGGTTCTCAGATGTTGGAAGAAATGTGAAGATTAGGAAAAATCATAATGAGAGACTATAGAGAGGGAAGCAGAGAGATGGGATTTGCTGAACTTTTCTGTGCGTACAAATGGAAAAATCCATTCTTGGGACTGTTTTTTTTTGTGTTTTTTGACCTGCACACTCATTCTAAATGCATCACAACACTCATGCTCCTTATTGGTTAAACAGCCTCATGAATATTTTTGTTTTTGGAACACCATTTTTCTGACATAAGTGCCTTTTCAGCAGCTCTTGGCAAGCATCTCAACTTTTAAATGAGTGCAGTAACATTACGACCCTCCACTTTGTAAATCTGTGTCATGTAAGAATGTATTTACTTTTGAGGACCAAAAAAAAAAAAAAAAGGGGGGGGGGGGGGGGATGAATCCATTTAGGACTTATTTAAAGTCAGTAGACAAGTTTCCCTGCAGGAACCTAATATTCGACGTTTGTTTTGGCATTATAGGGTTCTTTATTGCAACAGGTGTGAAGTAGTTTCAGATAACAATCTTGCCTACTACAGCTTTAATCAAACAGCAAAATGCAATGATTCAGTTTTGGGGTTTTTTAAAATTTCAATCAACCTCCCATTATTTCTGTTTACTTAGTTAATTTAAAAAGGCTAAATGATGATGAAGCATCTGTACAGCATTGATCCTATTTGTTTACCGTTTGTCATTTGGGTAAAATGTAAATTCAGTAAATGTGATTCTTTGGTGGCTCAATGCCCTTCTGTAACCACATGTCCAGCACTGAACACAAAACCTCTGACCTCTTTGTACATATGCCTCTTACTTTGTGTCCTTATACGCTTGCGTGTCATGTGCGATGTGTGTGCAATGTTCAATTGTGGCTTTTTTTTTTTGCACATAACTGTGTGTTTGTTTTCTTGTTGCAAAAGCTGCTATGCTGCTAAATCCACAGTTTGTGGCAGAATATATTGTTCCCAGTGTTATTGTGCGCTTTGCTCAGTGCCTATTTTACTCTACAGTAGGTGCTACATTCATAGGTGGGAAATGGTGAGAACCCACCTGGAACTTGTGCTGTGTGCAGTGAATTCTTAATTTTGTGTCAACTCTGCAAATGTTATCTCTCTGGGTTTTTCTAAACATCTTCTTTAACTGTCTGAACCCCCAAACCTGCCAACAGGTTTAAAAGGTAGGTTTTAAAACACATACACACACACACACACACATACACACACACACACACACACACACACACACACACACACACAAACATTGGAATTACACTATTTATCAGAGCCAGAAACAGGAAAAATGTGAGATTTTCAACTTTCCAGTCACTGAACTAATATTCCATGATGTATCCTTAACCAAATCTAAGCCTACAATCGTGAAATTTAAGCAAAATCTATTTATTTTAAAAGTCAATTTTAAAACTTTGCCAAAAAATAAATCTAACAAGATTTTGTAAGAAAAAAAAAAAAAACATTCTGTGCACCTTGATGCAACTGTGAAGCCATTAGTGACTCAGCTACAAGACTCAGCTACAACCAACAGCTACATGACAAAAATTCAGGGAATTTTTGGCTGACCTGCAGATTGTGTTTACACAGGGCAAACACAGACAAGTATATAAAAAAAAAAAAGAAAGATGTAAATAGTTAAAAATCTGTAGCGTGTAGAGTCATCATGTTTTCTCCATGACTGGTAACACCCGGGGACATTTGAAAAAATGTTGCACATGATTCCAGGTTTTTTTTTTTGCTTTTTTTTAATTTATTTTTTTAATGTTTGTAAATTTTTGTAAATTCTTTTGTAAAATTCAAACATCATTTATGATTTCTGACAGCATAACTTTGCTATTCTGCACAAATGACATTTTTAAAGTAATCTCTGCCTCTAGTCTTTGTTGTGCTGTTTCCATAGAGGTGCACTACTTTATGTTGCAGTGACAAGTTAGCCTTTAATGAGTAAAAATGTAATCATTTTTTCCCCAGTGTCAGCCACATCAACAACACAGGTAACCTAATTCAATAAAGGAGTAATGAAGCACAGCTTCTCTTTTTGTTGTTTTGTGCAGCTAAAATGTTGCTGTATTATTGTCTATGTATTATTTCAATGTTTTCTGGTGGTCATATGTCAGAATCCAAACAGCCAATGCCTTTGCAAAAGCATTTACCGGTTAAGATTATTCAATAAAATATATATATAACATGGTTTGGATCAATTTATTGCAGTAGCTCATGTTAGAATTATAGAAGGAGTTTAGAAAATCTCATTGACAAATTGTTCTTTTTCAGCCACTTTTCATTTGTGTAGAGAAAGAGAATTCATCAGCAGCATGCAAAAGCAGATTGGATGAATAAATCAAGTGGTGGAAATGACTGTCAGAGACTAATGCAAGCAAAGGCAGAACAAACAAAAAAAATCAAGGCTGTTCATTATAAAGGCTTTTAAATGCAAACACAGCTACTGTGTTGTATATTTTACTGATAATTCTAGTTGTTGAAATGCATCAGTGCTATATGTTTGTTGGGTTTCCTCGGAATAAAAGGGTGTGATGAAAAACAAGACAGACACGTCTGCTTTATGTTTTCACACAGACATCCAGACATCTGAAAACTGTCACTGACAAACTATGGAAATTGACACTTTTTACGCAGGCTGTGAGACAGACGACATTAAATAGAGGCTTGAATTTTTTGATCTCATTAATTAGCACCACTTTCAAGCGGTTGTCGAAGTCTCTCCTTCACGCCCTTACAAAAGACAGCATCTGGTGTTGCCTATAATTGTAACCACACCAGTGATATATGTATATAGATGATGATATAACCTTATATGGTTAATAATCTGGCCACTTCATTAAACATTATTCATGTATTATGCTACTCATTAGAATAAAGTGGTGCTTTCAAGTTTTTGAACCCTTTCCCTTGTCTCTGCTTAATTACACCAGACAACATCATTACATTTTCATGTAAGTCTAAAAAATAGGTTAAAAATATTAAAGAAAAATATTTTCTATCCTAATTCTAAATGTTTCCAGTGACTGTTGATCAGTATTGCACATCAACTTAAAGGTATTTTAGTCAATTAATCTGTACAGAACAGCTTCAACTCCGGGATGTTGGTGGGTTTCCTCACAGGAGCAGCTCACTTCAGCTCCTTACACAACATGTCAATTGGATAAAGATCAGGACTTTTACGTAGCTGTGGCAAAACATGAACCATTTTTAGGTAGAACTTCATGTTCACAGGCTGCAATGTGGCGCAGTTGGTAGCACTGTTGCCTCGCAGCAAGAAGATTGCCGGTTTGCGTCCCGGTGAGGGCACTGGGATCTTTCTGCATGGAGTTTGCATGTTCTCCTGTGCAGCGTGGGTTCTCTCCGGGTTCTCCAGCTTCCTCCCACACTAATGGGTGGATGGAACTTCATGTTTGCTTAGAGGTGTTATCTTGCGCGCAACCAATTTTCTCACAAGATTTAATTCACGGTCAGATGTCCTGACATTTATGTTTAAAATTCCCTGGTATTATTCAGAACAAATATTTCTAGTAATGATGGAGCCAAACAGGACAAATCCATGATAATACCACCACCATGCTTCACAGACGCGATAAGGTTCTTATGCCATTCTCCAATACTTCTCATTTAAACCGAAATGTCTGTTTTGGTCTCATCCTTTCACAAAATGTTTTCCAACAGTCTTCTGGCCTATTCAACATTATCTTTAGCAAACTAAAGAAGGAGAGTACAACACCGTGGCTGTTGAGTGTTCGCCTACTGGTGGACGAATGTTAGCATTAGCCAATGTGGGAGAGGCCATGAGTTCCCTTGTGGCTTTGTGGACTGCTACAGGCCTTGTTGTTGAAGCAACCTCCACTACTGGTGAAGATAAGGGTCTTGAATTTCCTTAATTTGTGGATTGGAGGAGCACAAACTCTTTAGAGATGGTTGTGCAATCTCTTACAGTCTGATTAGCACCAGCAGCACTTTTTCTGGAGTGATCAGAAATCTCTTGTGTTTGTGCCATGGTGCCCTTCGATTGACATTTGTTGTGAAGACCAGACTTTGATTGATTACCATTCTTTAAATGCAGCAGGGTGCTCCTTAAACCTGATTGCTATCACACTGATTGCAAACATCGTACTGTACTGTAATTCTACCTTTGAAGTAGCTGCTAATAATATATATATACACACATGGACAAAACTGTTGGTACCCCTCAGTTAGTGAAAGAAAAACCCACAATGGTCACAGAAATAACTTGAATCTGACAAAAGCAATAATAAATAAATATTCTGTGAAAATTAACCAGTGAAAATATGCTATGCTTCATTTTTGCATCTGTGAACATAGAGCTGATGTGCCTTGCCAAAAAGTTCCAGTTTTGTCTCATCCGTCCATAAGACATTCTCCCAGAAGCTTTGTGTCTTGTCAACATGCAGTTTGTCAAATTCCAGTCTGGCTTTTTTATCATTTGTTTTCAACAATGATGTCCTCCTTGGTCGTCTCCCATGAAGTCCACTTTGGCTCAAACAACAATGGATGGTTCGATCTGACTCTGATGTACCTTTTCCTTGGAGTTCACCTTCAGTGTCTTTAGAGGTTGTTCTGGGCTCTTTTGTTACCATTCATATTATCCGTCTCTTCAATTTGTCATCAATTTTCCTCCCGCGGCCACGTCCAGGGAGGTTGGCTCAAGTCCCATGGATCTTAAATTTCTGAATAATATGTGCAACTGTAGTCACAGGAACATCAAGCTGCTTGGAGATGATCTTATAGCCTTTACCTTTAACATGCTTGTCTATAATATTTTTCTAATCTCCTGAGACAACTCTCTCCTTGGCTTCCTCTGGTCCATGTTTAGTGTGGTACACACCATGTCACCAAACAGCACAGTGACTACTTGTAACCCTATAAATAGGCCGACTGACTGATTACAAGTTTGCAGACACCTGTGATGCTGATCAGAGGACACACCTTGATTGAACATGTCCC